ACACCAATTATAGACAGACATAAAACTGCCATTTAAAAAACCAGGAAGGAATCTTGATTAAATGGGAAGGTAGGAGTAAAAGCACAGTTTAGAGCAGATGGCTGGAAAGGAGCAAGGACTAGTCTTTCATCCTGTGCTGACCTGTCTCCTGAAAGTAGTGCCATCGATCCCAGGAAGCCTTCTTACTGTGGAGCTAATATGCCAGCGTAAATGTAGCTCCAAAACTTCAAGGATACTTTTGGTTTGTAACATAGAGTCATTGAGTTCAGGACAAAATTCCTGATGGAAAATTTTCTAAAATAATCTAAAAGGAAGAATTCCTATGATAGAATATCTAAAATGTAAATTCAGAGTACCTATTCTTCACCTTGTTTAATTTGATTCACAGAAAGGCAACTGGCCATGACAGACAGCTTATGGAATCACTCTGCTTTGCTATGCGGAAGATGGAGCAGGTTTAGCTGGATTGCAGGAGGTGTGCCAGCTACAGGAGACAGCATAATCAACCCTTGGCAAAACCTGCCTCATCATTCAGCTGAGTGTCTGCCAGCCAGAACCCCGCTGCTTGAAGGATGGTAACACTAAGGAGAGACTTTCTAGAGGGGAAATTAAAATTCAGAAAAGAAAATAAGACAGTGAGTTTTGGTTTTTTTTTATTCACAGAATACTTCTCTTCTCTTGATCCTCCAGGAAATGCAAAATTTTAAATAAACTTGGGATTTGTTTCATTTGGATGCTCTAAATGATTCCTTTGAGCCTGAAAAGCCTATGGTCCCTGAATAGACTTCTGCAGCTGCTGCACCTAATTTCATTTTGGCATGGAAAGAGACTAGGACATGTCTGTGCAGTACAGTCTCCCTCAAGCAGAAGCTAACATCATGATTCAATAAAATTCAGAAGTGCCTTTCATCACCTACATCTGTACAAAGTGACTGCAACTTCTAACAGAACAAATACAAGTAAAAAAAGCAGAGCATTGTTTACAGGGTGACAGCTGACTGGCAGGCAGAAATATAATTATGGATGATAAAAAAGGAAAACAGAAATGCAAACTATTGATTTCTTGGACTGATTTAGTACTCTCTTCCTGATGTTGATCGACAAGTCATATTCATTTATGATAATCCAAGGGGAGTTTGTAGTATTTGCACATCACTTAGGACAGTGAAGGTTAAACGGACTTAATGTTAAAGGGACTTTTCCCCCAACCTTGTTTTTCTAGTGATTGAAATACATTTGAAAAGAACTGCTGTCTGAAATAGATACAGGGTTTCAGGCTCTAATGTAAATTGGTAAACATATTGTCATAATAAAAATCAAAGCAAAGCAATCACCACCAATTCAAAATCCCCAGCATTATCTTGGATACTGGGATGGAAATATGAACTCTGTCAAGCTGTTTTAACCTAGTGAAGTGTAAAAAGCAATTTAATATGTATCACAGTGAAGTCAGAAACCAAGACACTGCTGATACAGAGATCAGCAATCACTGTCAATGCAGACAAAGCTGCTGTTTCATCGGTCTTGGCCCCTTCCCCACTGGACTGCCACGCAGCACCTCCCTCCCAGGCAATCTGGGATTTAGTTCTGGTTAGAAGGAGGGGTGGCAGACCAGCCCTAGTAAATCCATTATAAATATTATATATATATATTATATATATATATATATTCTATTTTATATAAGTAAATAAATATATAAAATACCTAAGTTGAGAAAACATAAAAAGGGCTCTGCAGTCAGTTCTCTTAAGAGACAGATAAATTGAGTGAGGGAAGGTTCATATGTATATTTTTGGTTAAAGTCTATTAAATATATCTAAATTCTGACAGATTATACGGTTTGCTCAGTTCCCATTTCCCAGGAACAAAAGAAAGATGCTGACCAGCAGAGCACTCTGTACTCTTCCCCATTACAGACCAATCACAGAAATTAGGGTAAAATGAGGGCTTTTTTTAAAGGAAGCATACAGAAACCTTGCCCTGAGTTGGTTATTCTTCATTTTCAAGCTGGCAAGGGTGATAAGTGAAGAATATATACTTCAAAGATTAACCTGCAAGGACAATTTACATCTTTCCCCCATCAGCTTCCCTAGTAGCATCTGTAGATACTAGTTTTCAACTCATTTAATATCCGCAGCATAGTGTTAAAAAACAGTCATGAGTAATTGGTCTAGGCCTCCAAAATGTGGATTTCTGCAGCTGATCAAAATCAAGCACTTCACAGCAGTTAGTCCCTAAAAACACAGGAGGACAAATAAACTGCTGAATACAGCCAGAGATAAATACCCTCTTTTACTGAAAATCAGTAGCTTGAACTCTAAGGAACTAACTTACAACTTAAAGAGCATTATTTCACAAGATCTTCTGCCCTGATTAAATAGTATTTAAAAAAACAGAAGAAAGAAGCCTTCAAGATTGCAGGCAACAAGCAAAATAATGTATGTCTATGGGACTCGATCACATCCAGCATCTTACTCGTCCTTCTTCTGTCCTCATCCCAGGATTTCATGGTGCTGCAAGACAGTTTCAGTCTCCAAAGGATCAAGGGGTGTAGGTTCACAAAAGCACATCAGAATTTAGCAGTAGAAATGTTGGGAACAAAATTCACCCAGCAAGCCTATTGGCTGGAGTCAGAACAACCTTTCTTAGCTAGGCAAAAGCAAATTCAGAATGCCAGAAAGTGGAACCTACTCAGTGCTGGGACTGTAGAGGTGTGCCACTGGGAGGCCAGCAAGAAAAAAAAACAGCATGCAAAGTCATTTTGTATGACTTCAAATTCCAAGGAAAGAAACTTCTTCATCCAGTTGTATGCACAACAGTAACTTCAGGAAACTGTTAAAAAAATTTCCTCAACTTTTACCACTCAAAAAATAATAGCCCTGCCTAAAAAAAATAGACCCTTTCAAAAAAATTGACCCTTCCTAGTCTTTAAATACATGACTTTTCTTCTGAACTTTTAGAAATTCTGGGCAAAACCTCTTTGAGTACCTATAAAATCTCAAGTAATGCATTCCTTTCTCCTGAAGGGCCTATCTTAAAATTTCTCTGATAATGCCAAGAGGTGATGTTTCTCTCTCTGAAGCGATGGTAGCCACAAAGGCAGATTAATGTACAAGTGAATTAACAGTATCTTGCACAAAACCTCAAATGGACTCACTTTAAAGCAAAACTAGTCATGCTTTGGAGAAAAGGGGTTTGTACCTTTGCTTTATATAAACAGGTGATCTTGAATCCTTTACCATGCAGAGGGAATCCCACACATAACGTTTAAATACCATTCCCACTGGTCATAATGAAATGTCTTGAAATCCAATATGCTGGTTTTCTAGTATTTTGTGTTTTTTAAATACACTTAAAGAGACATTTAATAGTTTATACCTTTGAATTAGCCCTAGTTTTGAGCAGAAATTTGATGAACAATTTATTCTCAGGTAAGATCAGCTCACATTCAGAATCGAGCACACCACCATTTATTCAGTCACCAAATTATTCTGAATAATTTGTGACCCACACACTGTGGGTGGTAGTTTACTGGGGCTGTTAAAATTGCTCTGACTTTATTCCTAAACTGTAAGAATGTTTGGCACAAATTCACCGGCCAATTCAGAACTTAATCCATAAAATCATGATGAAACCCAGAGGTAAACTTTTTCAGTTTTACAAAACAGAAAAAAAAAAGGCAGAATTAAGCCCAAAGTCTTTTCTGAACACATAAGACATGCTACTGAAACCCAAATAAAGAGCTGCATAGTTTCGTGGTCTTCTGAAATGACAACTTCATGACAGTCCATGCTACACAGTATTCCCGTCTTCATCTTATATAGTGACTAGTGTTAAATAATACAGCCTTTTTCTGGTACTGCCTAAAATGAAGTACAGTATACAGCATATTATATACAGTGATATCACTGATGAGGAGTAATACAAATAGTCTGTTTCAAACTCTGTTAAAAGAAACGGCAAGCAGTGCTTTTACACACCTTAATTGTGTTGGCTATATCTGGAGTTCCCTGCTTTTCATGCCTGATAATCTGCATTGCAGCTATGTTGCTTGCCTTTTTTTTTGTTTTTCCTTTTTTATATTTCAGAAAGGACATTACTTAAAATGAGATGAAAGCAATGATTGGTCTAACACAATGTACTGGTAACCAACCGGCTAAAATAAGGATTTGCATAAATCAGGAACTACAGAGCCCATTTTTAAGATAATGCTACCTATAATCTACAGTTTGGAATTGTTATAAAAAGATCAGATATTTAGCATCAGTTTCCTGGTTATGTTCGGGTATTTGTTGGCATGTTTTCCCCCTAATTGTAATCTTTACAATTTTTTGGTATAATGCGCCAAAAAGAACTGTTATCTTCCCAGCTGGAACATAAACATATGGCTGCATTTGATGGATAACATTAAGTACTAGAGAGCTCTATGACGCTATGGTCTATCTCTATTTGTCTATTAAAATCTCTTATCATTGATGACAAAGATCAGTTGATTACAGCTCAGTTCAGTTTCTGATAATTTGATAATTCAGCCTATAGAACCAGTTTTTCAATCTATAGACTGAACTTCTAGCTACCATGAGGTACAACTGCAAAAATGCATCTCTCTTCTGTTTCATTTTTTTCATGAAACAAACTGTATTACAACTTCCCCTAGCATACATGTAAATACAAATTTCATAATTTCTTGCCTGTATTAAGAGTTTAATATAGAAGGTGTTATTCACATAGGAAACCTTCCTTTCTGTGCTTTAGCAATTAAGGTTTCTGTCTTTTCCTGACTTGAACAGGAATAATCCATTACAACTCCACAAGGCAAAATCATATTGGTCTTTTCTGTTAATCACTACAAATACACCACAGATCTTCCAAGTGTGTTAGCTATTCAGTCTAAGATATCAGATATTTAGTGTAAGACTATTAACTAAAAAGCAGCAGTCTCCAACCTGCAATGACTGAATAACTGACTGAAACAAAGGGAGGAAAAGAAATTGCCATACCGGTGAACTCCACTGTTGCACATAATGATGTGACAAGCTCCAAGCCTGCTACAGAGTTCGGATGACACTGAAAGCAGTCCAACTCCAGAAGCACTGCATGCAGTGTATGCACAGGCAGCAGTGCGCTTGGATCGGATGAAGGACCCTATGAGTCGGTAAAGTTCATCCAAGCAATTGAGAGGCCTCATCAACTGCAAGAGGAAGAGAAAAATTTAATACTTGCTTCTGAAAGCACATGAAATGCTGTTTTAGAGTACGTCATCACATGCACATGGGACAGCAGGGCTGGCTGAGAGAGTGAAAGCCAAATCCCGTAACATAGATACAGAGCAGTCTTCTGTAACATAACCTATGACATCTTTTTCAAACTTTTAAATTCTTGCCATCCCTGTTTCATTCCCAGTCCTGCCTACAGAGGTGTTTTCACCTCAAGAGATTGCCATTTCTGTTAAAGGTACTGCCAAAGCACTTCCCCAAAGAAGGGAAGCCATGAAGAGGCAACCTACACCCATAAGCATATACAGGAGGGATGCCAAGACTAGTTAATTAACTCACTGAAAAATCAGCTTGTAATTAAAACACACTGTCATTTATTTATGCGAATATCTTGTTCCGAATCCTGACTAACAACATGGAAAAAATAAATTAACAGAAGTGACAAAAACGTACTACAAACCAAGAACAGTTAACTTTGTAGCTGGACTTAAAATAAACTCAGCATTACTGTACAGAAAAGAAATGATCCACCTAATAAAGAAGTCCTCGGACACTTTCAGGGATGGGGCATCCTCTGTGGATGTCCTCCTTCCCTCCCAGGCAGCCCAGCATGGATCCAGGAAAAGGGAATTATCAGCCTTTTAACACCCATGCTGAATGATACCAACATAAAATTTTAGCCTGTCATGGGGTTCAGATGATGATAACTGTATTCCTCAAGCACAGTAGCTCAATCACTTCCAAGTCAGTGTAGGCAAGACCTGAGGAACTTCTTTCCCCTCTGCTACTGGGCTGCAATATGGGCATTAACTCTCCAACAATAGGAGAGAGCATTAAATGAATTTTCAGAGCCCCTGGGATCTCTCAGTCACAGAGGTTTAAAGAAAGATGAAGGCATTTGAAGAAAGCCTAAATGAGGAGGTTCAGAACAAAGCCATCTGAGCAGGATGCTGAAGGAGTATTTCATTTGGAACAGCGCTTCCAGTTTTCAGAACAAAGAATTTCCACCTGCACCTGCTCTCCCCCCACCCTACCTTTCCACCCCCTGCATGCTCCTGGAGCAATTGCACTGCCCTGAAAGCACAATGGAAATGAAAGCTATGGCTCCTCTTCTCAAACACGCTGATACCCTCCAGCCTTTTTGATACAGAACCACATGGCACAATATACCCTTAAAAACACAGGTGGGACAAATTATTGCAAGAGAGCTCCTCCTTTCCATGCCCCATCCCCACTTTAAATAATTCAGTTTTTCAATGGAATTAAGAAAGCCTCAGAGAAGGATTACACAGTGTGTAACATGCAAAGTTTAATTAGACACTTAACATTGTTATTTACCTTATCTATATAAGCTGCTTTAGATGTTGAATTTGGAGGCAAGTTTGACTTATCCAGGTAGAATGCCCTGAAAGAACAAACATAATAAGGCAAAACCTGTTAGTTGCTTAAACTCCTGAACAAAATGCATGTGAGTGTTAAGACACCATCCTAACATTTAATTTTTTATCATGCTAAGAGAGGGTCAAGCGATAAGATATAGGTAAATAACCATTATCCCTCTTTCTTTTAAAGTAATAAATATTTTTTTGTTCTGGAGACAAAAAGCTGTCCATCTGACAGTACAGTGCAAAAGTTTAATGTCTAGTTAGTAGAAAAAACAGATCTGAAAGAGATTTTCACCATGAAAAGGTTTGTGGCAACTCTCTAGATTTAATAGTGACTTTGGGAAACTTGGCCTTACGTAAACAACGCCTCAGCTAAATGCATTATAAACTTTTTTTATATTAGCTGTATTTAATTGTAATAATATGAAACCAGAATCTCAATCCTGAACCACATCACAGAGAGAGAAAATATGCACAAGCTCACAATATAAAAAGAAACAAAAAAGCAAAAACCCTACAAGGGGCAAATATGCATCATACAAGCAAACTGGCATTTGCAATTCCTTCAGTCATGCATGCATGAGCAAGTAAAACAACTGCCTTTCTTTACAATTTCTTTGAAAATGAATTACTGCATGAAGGAAAAGCTGAAGAAAACTGTTATATACCTGCAGAACACAAATGCAATAGAGAAACCATGCTTACTGTATTGGGTTTATCTATTGTGTACTAAAGTTCATCAACACACATTCTCCCAGTTCCTTCTATAACCTTTCACTTATCAATGAACAGTACTAGAAAGAAGTTTCTATAAAATGAACAAATGCAATGTGCTGTTTTAAAAGACAAAGGTTGGCTAATTTCTGTGTGGCACAAAGGAGGCTAACATTCTGACCAGAGGGCTTCCATGCTATCCTCCCCTAGAACAGTGAAAGCTCTTACTCAACACCAGAAAGGAAGAGCTTTAGCAAAGAGCACACAGGCAGCACAGTGCTTTTCTGTCTCCTTCAACTCAGAAACCCTAGATGACTTTTCTTCTTTCTACCTTATAAACAAATTAATTGCTCACCACAGATGAGCTATCATTAAACATCTCACAGACAGAGGAAGTATCTTACATTTGTCTATGATAAGACCAATTTCTCTGCCTCTGCAGAATCACTTAATTAAAACAGAAATTGCCCCTACCTATGGCATCAGGGTTGGACCAGATGATCTTTAAAGTTCCTTTCCAAGCTAAACCATTCTGTGACTCTCTGATCACAAAATTCATTCTGCTGGTTGAAAAGCTCCTAAAATCTGCTGGAGCAACTGAAAAGGCTTCCCTGCTTAGACGAGGCATTCAGTGAGAACCAGGCAACAGCTACCACTGCAACAGTTGTGAACAAGGTTAAAATAAAACTAAATGAGGAAACCCCACTGAACTAAGGAACATGCAAGAAAAAAAAAAGAAAAAAAAAACACAGATTCCCCAGTGGAAACCTCAAGGTTCCACTGATCCAGCTCCACTGCCTGTGCACAAGGAGACCTGACTAAAGATCACAGCTGACCTAGGCAGGAACTATGGAGTGTGGTAACCAAATTTCAGTTGCAATAAAACAGGAAGAGAAATGCATTGAACACTGGAAAGAATGCATCCTTGCATCTTAACTCTCAAATGACAGAATCACCTGGACCCTCCAGTCATTAAGACATTGATTCGTATAACATGCACAGATAAAATTTGCCCTCCCACCTTTTTTATGGTTTTATCTGTGAGAGAAGTTATTCCTGTTGTTAATACTTGAAGGGCAAGGGTGAACACTGCAGATCTGAATAGCCTTTTATTCTTCAACAATTTGGAATAAATAAACTGATAAAAAGAAATCCAAGAACCTTTAATCCCAGTAGATTTTCTTTCCTATAGCTTTGCAGTTTTGAAAAGCATCTTCTCCCAAATTTAAGGTTTGAATTTATCCCCTGAGAAAGCACAGCAAAGCTAATCTAGTTCTTTTATTCCATTAAGCCTCTTGAATGATCCAGAATGTACTCTATGTCAGAGGAAGCTGGAGACTATTGGAAGGAAAAGAGGTTTGCAGGGAAAATTACTCATAAATCACTTTGAATGGCCACAGCACATAAAAGCTTCCTCAGCAGCAGCAGTCCAACCTTTTTCTTTGTTAGCAAAGCTAAAAAACAAAAGCATCACCCTGCCATCCATTGAACCATTATCAGCCTGAAAGCCTATACTGTTTTTTCCTACCATGGCACAGGAAAATCTGTTCAGCACTCCCATTCTCTCTCTTTGGATTGTTATTTAAGCAAATTCAGCTGCATTAAATGAAACCAGAAACCAAATATAGAACAGTACACACATTAATGGAGTACACAGAAAATAATCAACTCAGGGTACAAAATAAAGCAGCATGGACACAAGAATGGGATGTACAATTATAGGAATAACTCCATTAAATCAGTCAATTATTCATTAACCTAAAGAACAAACAAAAATCAACTATACACAACATTAATTTTAAATATCAAAACATCCCGTTACAAATGAAACTATCTCCCCCCCTCCCCCATCAGATAACACTCCCAGATGTTTCTCAAGTGCTTTATTTTCATTGCTTTTCATAAGAATTTCTTCAGTATTTTACAGAACATGACAAACTGTGGACAGCATATAAATTTCCAAAGCACTTCATTTAATTACTAAATGCTTGTTAAGGTCCTTAATCATATTTTATGGGAAAAGTTAATGGCAAACTTGGCATGGTGCCCAATTTGGACAGTACTTTGTAATCCATTTGAAATGAACAAGAATGAAATCATAGCTCTTTGTCTGCGAATGCAATGCCAGTTTTGCCTTACCATTCCCCTAAGCTGAAGCAGGAAAGTCTTGCTTAAAAAAAAAAAAGGTAGAAAATCTAAGGCATTAAAACTGCAGGGGATTATTGCTGTGTTCCGCTTTTGTAAGGTACCCCCTATGCAACAATATCAGATAATGTCAGTCTCAGAGAAAAATTTCACTGGAATGAGGTAACAAACATCTTAGGGTTCAACAAGGTATCATGACTGCATTCCCAAGATGTAAAATCCTGAAAATATGAAATAGTGAGAACTGAATTTAAAGGAGGCTCCAAACCTGCAGAGACATGGATTCCTGAGTAACTTTGTACATGCAAATAATACAAACAAAGCCAAGCTTCTAGTCTTGCTTGGTTTGTTGTTGCAGGAAATAAATAGGGTAAACCTAAATGTTGATCATCTTCAAAATACAAAAAGAGTAAATAAGCGATTGGAAGGGGAGAAAGAGATAGGGAAGGTAATTGGGTTATGGCATTAAATAAAGGCAAGCTGGGGATTTTGCTCGAGAAAGGATTTGCTTTGATGTTATAGCAGAGAAAAAAATTAGTATTTTATATTTTCTTCATCACTGTGGCACGCATATAGTTAAATATGTACTGTCTTTAACAGAGGATAGAAATATAATTTAATTCTACTTGATCTGTATCAGTCACAAGATGTTCAAGATCATGCTGTGACAGGACGAGGGGTGATGGTTTAAAATTAAAAGAGGGGAGATTCAGGCTGGACATGAGGAAGAAATTCTTTACAACGAGGGTGATAAAATCCTGGCACAGATTCTCCAAAGAGGTGGTGGATGCGCCACCCCTGGAGACATTTAAGGCCATACTGGATGTGGTTCTGAGCAACCTGATGTAGCTGAAGACGTCCCCGCTTACTGCAGGGGGGTTGGACCAGAGGAGCTTTGAAGGACCCTTCCAACCCAAACTATTCTGTGATTGCTAAACGTGGCAAATGATACATCAGTATAGAGACACAGGGTCAGGATGTGTTATAGATAGTGTCACTAATTCTTCAGCTCCATCTACAGAGCAGCTATTTATGACATAAACAATATCTTCATGTATTTGCTTATATATGCACACATACTTTGATATTTCTTTAAAAACAGTTCTGTACTGTGCCATCTGGTTGTTAACTATATAGGTGAGCATGTGTATAGTGTGTTTATCATATATACAATATGCAAGTTTAGAAATACATTTTTAAGTATGTATAAAAACCATATAAAACTATGTATCTATAATACACACAAATTCAACTGTTTCTATAGTACAAAGTATCAATAGCAGAAAACTATTTGCTGACACATAAAAAAAAAAAGAATCTAAGTGTTTCACATGTTTCTTCCACTAAATGGTAAGTCTTAATAAATGATAAATTACCAAGTACAATTAACATCTCAACTCATTCTAAGACCTAGTGATTTTAAATGATGTCCTAACATCTGTTAGTGATAAAATCACTACAGTGTCATTAGTAGTCAGAGAAAGGTTTAATCATGACATGAGAAAACCTTCATGACAGTATCATGATTTTAAATCCTCAAAGAGCATACCTGATAAATTCTCACCTTCCACAACTGTTGTGCAAACCAAAGTGCAGAGCAGAAAATTTTAACACCGTGGAGCTCTGAGCTTACCATATTTCATGCGTAAGCTTCTCAGTAAACCCTTCCTTTGTACTTAGCTCTGGTGAGGCTGCACCTCGAAGACTATGTTCAGTTTTCGGCTCCTCACTACAGGGAATACACTGTGGTGCTGGAGCGGGTCCAGAGAAGGGCAACAAAGCTGGTGAAGGGTCTGGAGCACAGGTCTGATGAGGAACAGCTGAGGGTTGTTTAGCCTGGAGTAAAGGAGGCTCAGGGGAGACTTTGTCACTCTATAACTACCTGAAAGGAGGTTGTAGCATGGAGGGTGTTGTTCTCTTCTCTCAAGTAACAAGAAACAGGACAAGAGCAAATGGCCTCAAGTTGTACCAGGAGAGGTTTGGTTGGATATTAGAAAAAATTTCTTCACCAAAAAGGCTGTCAAGCACAGGAACAGGCTGCCCAGGGAAGTGACTGAGTCACCATCTCTGGATGTGTTTAAAAGATACGTAGATGCAGTGCCTAGGGATATGGGTTAGTGGCAGTGTTAGGTTAACAGTTGAAGATCTTAAGGGTCTTTTC